CTGGAAGGCCCTGATTCGATTATGTCCAATACTTGTTCCTCTGTGCTTGGAACCCGAACACTATCTTCCTAGAACCACTCTCCTTGCCCTTTGTTGGCGTGAGTTCTTTCAGCTTCTGCTATGTTACTGTAGTATTTCCCCGGAACTAATCGCATATCCGCAAATTCGTGAAAGAAAATTCAAAGTAAGTCACAGTTTGACAGATTATTGTTATTATTGACAAGGGCTATCCACCTGTAACTATTTGTTAATGGCAAAAAACATCTGCTGTGCCTTTTCATCAAAAAATTGTAGAACAGAACTTTTTCAATATCGAAAATTTTCGTAATTTGAAGCAAAGATCGTAATTTTTCTTTTTCATTGCTTAAATATTCCAATATGCTACCAATTAAACATGGAACAATTTCAAAATAATGCTTAATAGCAAAGTTGAAATTCGATCTTCAACTGTTAATATCTTCTAGAAATTTTCGAAAAGCCTCCATCACCCCTTAAAGGAAATGACGCCAATTTTGAATCACCCTGTATATAATATAAGAATAAAAAACGGCTCTAAGTACCTACTTTTTTTGTAATTCTGGCCGATGTTTATTTTAATATTTTGTTTCCTGAAATTACGTCATGTTACGTTAAGCTTGGCAAAAGAAACTGCTATAGAATCTTTTAATAAATCCTAATTCTCATTTTCTCACTTTACACTATATAAAGACCTTTTGTTTCGTATAGAAAGTGGCTAAGGCAAACATTGCAGCGAGGTTAACAAAACGTAGGCAACAAAACGGCCAAGAAAAGAGCAGCAGCAATAAAAAGCCGTATCTTACACAGATCGGAAAAACATAATTAATCTGAAATAAACCACGAGCATAAATGGAAGCAAAAGGAAATCAGAATAATCGACTATCGATCAGAATACATTTAGCTTTTTAGAAAAGAATAAATTGTCGGAAATAAATTAAAGGCAGTTGAAACAGTACTGAAGTAGCAAATTTACAAATCAATCAAAGTGATAATTAACTTCCTCATTTGACAGGGGTCGGAACCTGAAGGATTATCTATTGTTGCAGTAAAATATTAAAATGGGATTAAATTCATTTATGAGTCATTAAAGAGCTACGTAAAACATCCATATATCAAACCAAACAAAAAGTTTAAGATATAACCCTTTAATACTGAATCCTTCTAGCAAAAGATTTAAAGCAACCCATAGTATCCGTCAGCCATGTAGCTCTATGTGGAAAGAAAGGATGGCAAATAAGTTTCCCATTCAAGTTTTTGTCCTATCCTAATGTCAGCAATAACAGTTTCTTGCGTCCGCTCAACATGAAATCGGCTTTTATACAAAGTCTTTATAAAAAATGTACCCTAACTTCTTTTTATTGATCGTGTTTTTGGCTCTTTCAGCCAGTAATTGTATTATATTAATTATTTGCGCGATATAGTGTGTTAAAAAACGTTTTTAACAAACTGTCCACCATTTCCTCTAATTATAGGTAAGTATAATTAACACATATCGATATACGTACCGTTTAGAACGTGTACCCGGACACTGGCTACATTTGCATTGGATGGATTGCATGAATACTTTCCAGAGTCTGATATGTCAGCATGCTGAATCAATAGAAAACTCGTTGTAACATCACCCTTTTCTGTGATGACACTGACACCACCACGGCTTGAGTCGTAACTTATGACCTGGAAAACATGTTTTAATACAGTAGTAATCTTCTGGATGAACTTTAATGTTGAAAGTTGTGTTCTGATTAACTTCACTTGTTGAGCTTAAAGACCTTAAGTCTCTATGAGTGAACGTTGATTAGATAAGTGACAAACACATGCTTTCACGTAAAACATATTTCAAGACATTTAACCGCCAGATTTAACTTAATTGTTAATTTGGGTTAGTACAGTATTATGACCTACGCATTGAATAAAATAATGTTGATTATGATTTACATGGACGATACACTATTTTTCGTTTCACCTAAGGTTGATGGCTTTTAACCATTATATACAGTAGGCACTTCATAAATCAAATTATTACATGTCAAAATACTTTTTTTTCATCAGAGTTTCTATTGATTCGTGCGTATTACCGAAAAATTGATCATTATAAAAAAATAAAAATTCAAACGTATATGCAAAATCCTTAAGAAAGTCTGGCAGGTTGACGTATAACAGGTAAATACGTAGAAAGAAAAAAACACAATTTTTTACATTATATTTAAAACTTGGCCGTTAAAAGGTTTGATACGGAACGGCAAGTAAATTAATGGTTCTGAAAGAATATAGCGACTCAGGTTTTTCTACCCTTTTTAAAACCCGAATCTTTTTGCCGAGCAAAATTATGCGATGACAGTATTTCAGTTGATCTTTGTAATAAACTCATTTAACATTTCTGCTGGATAATTTATAAAATCAGAAACTTACCGTTATTAAACTAATTTTTTGCTCTTGAGTGGTTTGAAAATTCTACAGAAAATTAAACTGAACATAATATTAAATTACTGCGGCTTCAAAGTTTTAATGCATTACTTTGATGATTTGTTAAAGATAAATATACACAAACCAATATTATTATTTCAATTAGCTGAGTTTAATATTCGGGAAGACCAGACCGGTAAAAGAAGTAAGTACTTCCGGCAACGCAGTGGGCGTCGCGATAAAAGTTAGTAGTTCTTAAAAAACATATAGCGGTTAATTTATTTCAAGCCTTTACTTACTCTTGACTGTTTTATACTACCATAACATATAAATATACAAATTGTACGGTTTTATTTATTTTTAAGGCCGGTTTTATGGCCCCTTCCGCTATAATCAAAAAATACAATGTTACTCTCTCGCTCTGGTTAAGATATACTGGCTTGAATTATTAGGCTACAAATTAGCAGTAACTCCTGGAAATATGTTAATTTCTCTTTTCGTTTTTTTTCAGAACTGAAAAGAATGAAAACTGAAAGATTCTGAAAACTTCTACCATCCTGAACAATGGAGTTTGTCACAATTCCATTGGAATTGGAGGCCTTGCCCCTAAGGTAAACTTATCAATTACCGGTTAGAATAAATTCAACAAAATCTGAGAAACGAAGTATTTTTATCGCAGATACAAAAAGGTTTGTAATAGCGTTTCCACTTTATTTATAATACGTTTGGGAAAATCGTAATTTTTGCATGAAGAATGATGAGTTTTCCGATGTATTACGTAACAAAACTTCAACTTTTTTTTTAAATCTATGATTAATGTTCCTTAGTGGCGATCGCATATTGCTGCTGTAAAACAAAATACACGGAACAGGAGGCCAGCAGTAAATTATATTCTCTTGTCTTTGCGCCATTTTCTGCAGAAAATATTACTAATGAAAGTAGGAAATTCTTATATTTATGTTCATTAATGAAAGCAGTTATTCAACATGAACCCGTACTACTTCACGTTAGACACAGATAAAAGCAAATTGTGGATTTTGAATTATGTATCACTATCAAGCAAAATATTGATACGATAATATATGACGAAAATATTTACTTATTTCCAATACGACTTACTTCTCCACCATGGTACCAGAATATATAAGCAGGAGGTTCGGGACTATACTTGACTGAACACGTCAAGTTAATTGTACTGCCCATGTCCACATACAAGTCTGGACCGCCTAGAACTTGCGCAGTAGGTACTGAAATGAAGAAAGCATGGTTTTTACATTGTTCGCTGACCTGAGCACTAGTGGCCCATAATAGAGGATGCAATGTTAAATAGGAATTTAACATTATTTTAGTTATTATTTTAATTGGAGATATTGCAGATCAACTGTGAAAAAATTGTCGCTTTATTAAAAAACTAACCCAATCTACAATTTGTTAGTTTACTACAGTCAGCCTTCAAACGTTTTAGTAACTTTGCCTAGAATTAGTATCTAATACGTATAAATAACGAACAAAATGCGTTAGTGTATTAATTTAAAAATACATATGTAACCTTTAACCTGGCTGACCAGAGTCATCAGGCGGACAGCTGCAATTACACTTGTAACTCTCATCTTGTGGAGGCTTGTAACTCTCTTCTTCTGATATTTCTAAATAAATTAAAAATCAATTCAACATGCTCTCATCGATATTTTCCTGAGCTTATTTATAACGCATATACTTCATAAACCCTACGTGGCCTTCCGGTCTACATGAATTTCTAAGTGGGCACATGACATTGTATACGTTGCCTTTAACACTGTCCAGTCTTACAATCAGCTCAGTGAAGTGATGAACTCAAAAAAATATATAGTAATATTCTTTTTAGCTAGATGTGTCTAGGTAGGTCTTTACTTTAGATCTAGGTATATTTGGAAGTTATATTAGAAAGCAATTCCACACTCAGATCTTTAGAGTTGCTTATAAAACTTGCGTAGGGTTGCAGCATACGGCATTTTAAAACGTTTACTGCCCTCATTAAATTGATAAACTAGGGTTACTGGGAAGTTTCTATGTGCGATAAAACAACTAAACTGTTCAGTACGCAAGTTAATATTTAAATTGGAGGGATCTGGTGGTTATAGATCACAGATCACAGAGTGTGATCAACCTCTGTGATCCGTTGTTATATATATTATGATCTTGGCTTGAGCAAAGTTTGTACTTCTGGCCCATGACCTTCATTATTATAGAGAAGTCTCCGTTATAAAGGTATTTGTTGATGAATAATATATTGATATTATATTATTATTTCTATCATTGTTCATCAATATGAATAATGAAAAAAAAATAGCTATGTCATCTTATTCTTCTTCACAATCTATTTAGTCATACTAACTCACCAACAAGGTTCAAGTTAACGAAATAGCTCCTAACAGGCTGTGTGCTTATTTGGCACTCATAAATACCAGCATCGCGTTTCTGGGCCCATTTTATTTGTAACGTCCATTCGTCGTTTTCAGTATGATGATTGGCTTGAAATCGCTGGTCGCTGGTATATGTGTAGCTGCCCACTGTCAGAATATGGATGTCTCTATGTCGAATCCACGAGACCTGAAATTAAAGCTACTGGTACTGGTACAAATTTCAAACATTTCTGAACAAGAAGTAAGCAGTTCTGACTAATCGTGGACTTACACTGAAACGATTCTTTTTGACGAATTATGAGGAATGCTTTTTTAAAATCAAAGGTTGCTTCTTTAGGATCAATTTAAATATGTACGTAATTGTAATGTAATTAGAGAGTAGTAAAATAGTCGCCCAAATAGACTCGTTTCTATTTTTATCAATTCGTTCTATTAAATATACATGTACGTTCGAAACGACTATCGCTGCACGAATTAGTATGGATTTTATTACTTATTTACATAGCTGTACTTTATTTCTAAGCAACATAAAGGAAATCATACATATCGTATTTTTATTCTATATTTAGAAAATGAACTGAAAAAGCGGTAATAATAAGAATTTATTGAATTGACTATTATAACTTTGCTTTGTTGGCTACTAAAATATTAGTGGCTAGTGGATTAATCCGTTATTCGTACCCAATAACAAAGATCTTTGGCTAACGAGGGTTTTTACAAATGTGGCATATTTCGAAAATTACCTGTTTTTTGATTAAATTACTTTTGTGTTATTTCAAAACCGGCTGTAGATTTTCCATTTGAAGTGTAAATCGACATCACTACCTAATTCAAAAAGATCCTAAATAAATACGATTAAAACCATTTTAATGGCAGGTAAATAGACCGACTGTTACATTGCAATTCTTTTCTCAATTATGACTTTCAATTAAACCCAACTTCAGATCTAGAACTGGGATGCTTGATGGATGGATGGATGGGAAATTGTAGAAGAGAACTTTATTAATATCAATAGTATTCGTAATTTGAAGAAGACCGTAATTTTTCAATACGAGCGATTAAGTATTCCGATAGGCTACCAATCAAAGATGGGACCATTTATTTGCAAAAATAATACTTAATAACAAAGTTGACATTCGATTTCAACCTGTTATATCTTCTAGAAATTTTGAAAACAAAATCTCAATAATTTTCTCGTACTCTCCAAGTGAGCCCCTATTACCCCTTAAAAGAAATGCGCCAATTTTGAACCACCCTGTATAAGGCGTACATATCTAAGAACATATTATTCATATTTGTAAAAAATCATTTGTTGTTTCAATTTAATGTAGGTTTCCTGACCCTCGTCTCGTTGGGCATTTGTTGAAATCGTTGAATAATAAGAACGATTTATTTCTGTCTACATAAATTGCGTAGTCTACTAAAAGTCATTGCTCAGTGAATGTACAGATCATTTTTCAAGTTACCCCAATATGAAAGACAACGAGTTTTTACAAATTTAGAATCCACAGCAATGAGGCATAAAAATGCATTATAATTTGCAAAACAATTACACTATCGCATATGGCATGTAGTAGTATGAGTATAATGTAAGTATCTCAGTCTCTAAAGGTGATTTGATTAGTTATAATAATGTTGTGGCCCATCTGCAAAACTCCGCCAAAAATGATATTTCTGTTATTTTTTGTTAGGGATATCAGATATTACTATGTGAAGCGTGTCTTTGGTATCTAAAAATCTGTGACACTGGTGAAGCTGCAAGACGAACGACGTAGACTGAATTCATAATGAGCTATTGAATAGTTTGGCTTTTCGGCTCTGGTCGCCCTCTCACACTTGCTTAAACACATTTAGGTTCAAAATATTCGAACCAGGACCGACATGTGGTTTATAAGTAATGTCTACTAACTATGAAACTTGGACTAAGTAGAACGGCAATGGTCAGATTATCGACGAGTAAATAACAAAGTTTTAAGTCAGGAGAGGATTGATGAAATAGATGAATTTAGTATTTTACTGAAATAGATCTCGATCTACCTAAACAGACTCGGAAAATTGTCAGTAGGTTTAATAATTTCTGCATTAAATGCCCAAAAGCCTTGGAGGTATTGACTTGTCATTTTACTTATTAGTATAGAGAGATATAAACTGCTTGTCTATAAAACATCATCAAACGCCTCTAGAATCTAGATTATTTGCCTAGAATATTTTTAACCTGTATGAGGACGTGCAAATAAATGGTAGTTAAACGTAAAAGAATCGGATGCAATTATTTAAAGGCACGTGCAGACATGCACGAGAATACAGTAAAAACGTCGCGTATCAAGTCTGGACGGCAGTCTGCAACAGCATATCATCGCAGCGGCCTATCAGTTGCATTGCAAATCCTTTTGCAGTCGCATCAATAAAATGTACTCTAATGCCTAAACTACTCTAATGTAACACTGTGTTGAGTTGCGCGCACATTTACGCTTAGCATTTAAAAAAAGGTCACCACATTTTTTAGGAGCAACCTTTTATCAAATCCAAAATTAAAATCAAATCCTGGGTTCTTCAGTCATTTATTGT